CGCGTGTCCCTGCGAGCGGCCGCGGTGTCAGCTGCTGTCTCTTGGTGCACCTGAGGCGCGGGCCTGACCTCGAGCCGCCGGAGGGCCTTTTGGTGGGCTGGTCCTGCGCCTGGGGTGAGCGGTGTCAGCTGCTGTCTCCTGGTGCCCCTGAGGCGCGGGCCTGACCTCGAGCCGCCGGAGGCCCTTCTGGTGACCTGCTCTTGCGCCTGGGTGCGGCCCCTTGGGGCGACTGGCCCGGTGCCGACCTGGGGTCCAGCAGTGCACCCGTTTCGGCCGCCCGGGGAGGGGCGCGCGCTTACGAGGTCCCTATCGGGCTCGCCTCGTGGCCGAGAAGCGCGAGTGACCTGCAGGCCTGAGGCCGGAGACGGGGGCAGCCGTGCGGAGGGACCTGCGGTCTCCTCCCGTCTTGCGCCGGGCGCTCGCAGTGGGGTTCAACTTAAGGAAACGATATGGGAGTCCACAGTGGGTTGCGCTTAAGATTTCATTTCCGGGTGTGATGGCCCGGCGAGTAAGAGCGAACCGAAACGTTGCCATTGCTGATGAATGCGAACAGTTGTCAAGCTGCGTCCTTGATGGTGGGATCTGCTCAGAGATTCATTCTCATCAGGCTTCTCTTACCTGCCCATCTCGGGATAGGGAGCGAAGGGTAGGTAGAAGGATGTTAAAGGCAAAGTGGAGGGGGCGCAGCGTGTTGGTCATTACGGAATTAGTCCTTTTAAAGGCCGGGTCACCGCTGGGATAGGTAAGGAGTTTACTATTTGGGAGAATGAAGCTTGATACTGCACCTTGGGTCTCCGGTCAGGTATTGGTGGCATTCCCATCCAACCACTTTCCCTCTGGAGGTACCATTTCTCACCTTGGAAAGGAAGTAGGAGTGTGGGACCTTTTTAGCTTTTAAATTCTGAGGTTTAGCAATCTGTGACCTGCCTGGTAAAGTTAAGATTGCCATTTATGAGCTATGCCTGTCCTCCATGTGTTATCCACCTTATGTTTTATATTGTAAATTCTTCATGATTTTTGACTGGGGTTGGTATTTTAAAATTATTTTTAAATTTTTAAAATTATCATTTAAAAATTATACTGAGTTAGAGACCTCAGTCTAGTAACAGATTACAAGTATTCCTTGAGTTTATGCAGGACCTTTGAGAGCACTTCCACTTACATTATTTATCATTGCAATATGTATTTTTTTAAAGAATTATTTATTTATTATTATTATTTTCCAGTTTGATCAGCAAGACAGAGAGAGAGAAAGTGAGAAAGCAAGCCACCAGGTCTGGGACTTGAACCATAGTTGGCCATGTGGGAGTGTCCAGTGCCTTAACCACTACCACCTCTTGGTCTGCACACAGTATGTCTTTGAGAAGCTGAGGTACAGGTGTTCAAGATGCCAAATTATTTGCCCAAACTGAGAGCCAAAGTAAAGTAGATTTAAAATGGTTTTGTATCATATTAATAACTTTTCTAGAGTTTGTGAAGATGTGGACTTTGGTTCCCAGAACCATGCAGTGGAATCAAGTCAACAGGAGACCCTTCCACGTTTGAAACTGCGTATTGAGAGAGAGTCAAAGGCCTGCATAAGTACTTGGGACCCACTGCCCCAGTCACAATAAAGTGTGGATGGAGGTAAAAGGCAATTAAGAAATCTTGCAGTTTACAGTTTTCCCTTTTTTAAAAAATTTAACTTTATATATTTATTTATTTTAATTTGACCAGAGAAGGACAGAGAGAGAAAGCCGCCAGGTCTGGGACTCAAACCGTGGTCGACCATGTGGGAGTCCACATGAGCATGTGTTTGCCATGCCACCTGCCAGCCCCGCAGTTTCCCCTTGTTGGTGAAAATATGACACTGATTTGCTCAATTTCTCTCCAACTAGTAGGAAAATAGCTCTTGTTTTGGTAAAGGACAAAAACTTGAAAACACATCCTTTGCTTTTCTTCCTTAGTATTTGGAGTCAGGGAACAGATCACCATTTCTACCATCTTTATTTTTCAAATCCCTTATATGATAGAATTATTTTATGTTAACTCTAGTTCCTTGACTTTCAGTCAGGTCTTCATTTCCATTTGTAGATTATAATTCGTGCATAGCCTTAACACTTTTGCTTGTTATCTCTTCTGAAGCTCTAATTTCAAAATGAAATTTTCTTTGTTTTCAAGTCAGACTTGGACTGCTTATACTTTTTTTTTTTTTTTTTTGGAGAGATTTTCACTGTAGGGCACGTGCGCTCGCCAGACAGGCAGAGAGAGACATAGAGACAGAAAGTGAAAAATTACCCCCCAGGGGGGATGGTCACGCCGCAATCCCTTCTCCTCCATCTCCTCTCGGGATCTTGGGCACGCATGCACACGCGCCCGGCGTGAGTTTTAAGCCACCGGGTCCGGGACACGAACCGCGGTCGACTACGTGGGAGTCCAGCGACATAGCCATTACGCTAACTGCTGGTTCCCCAGCTGCTTATACTTTTTAACTGTTGTTCCAGTGGAATAAACCCTGAAGGCAGATTTCTCAGGCCTCGAACTGATAACTTTATAAGATAGTGACCACAGTGGGTGTCTCTTGGTGATTGCTGCTATCTCATGAGAGAAGCAGGGGTCTGTTCTTTATATGCTGTGGTTGCAGTTGCATATAATAAAAGGAGACAGCCTTCTGGAAGCTGGATGTCAGGTCACTCTGGGCCAAAGTACCAGGTGGTTTTGTGCTTTGGGGTGGGGAGCACAGTGACAGTGAGGCCCTGCAGTTTATTCTAATAGCTGGATAATCTGTGTACTTTTTTCTCTGCATCTAACAGTGCCTAGTGCATAGTAGTTGGGAAGGGAATATTTGTTGAATGAATGAATGGAAAACGGTATGAGGGAAGAGGAAATAATTCTGGTGTAAATACACAATTATTTGGCTTCTCTTTTGTCAAAAGAAAAAAAAGCCAAGAAAATGTGTTTTAGATTCCTGTCGGGAATATGCTGTTGAGATGGGTATCTATATAGGGTGTTACCTGCAGGAGCTGCCTTGAGATTATGTTCTTTGTATAGTGTTCTTGTCATCTGCAGCTTGGGGGCAACCTGTGTGGCTATGGTCAGGAGCAGCTGCACAGACTTACTTCTGCACCCTGATCTGGCTAGGCTTACTGAGCAGTGGATTGTAGTCAGTGTCTTTGCATTAATAGAAGAACTTAGAGCTCTTAGTAATGGCAAATAGCATTGACCCTGTCTGTCTTCTTGTCCTTTACCTTGCAGGTAAGAAGGGGGAGTTAGCCCTCCCTGAAGTGCTTTACTTACAGCTCCTCCATCTACATCTGTATATCTCTTCCCCTTTTCCTTCCTTCAGCTGCCTTCCTAACCCCAAAAGACTAATGGATTCATTATTAGCATGGGCCTGGGGTGCAGACAAAGGCCTTACATTGCAATTGAAACCAGCTTCTGACCAATCTATAATGTCAACGTGAAAGCGAGAGCTGCCTAGAATATAAAGATTTGACTTCTGATTTGATCTCTCTTAACTAAAACAAGAAGAAATGCCTATCTCTGGAGCTAAAGAATCTTAGGGGTGCATCTGTCGTGTTAGTATGAGATAAGACACATAGACTGATGCAGAAAAGAGACATTGAGCTTTGGTGTGTGTTTGAGGTCTGTACTTTCTGGCAAGTCAACAACTCCTTTACAGGTAATTTGGGTACATTATAAAAGGGGGTCAAGGAATGTGAAATTGTAGATGTGTAAAGAGGAACTAAGTACAGGGTAAGGCAGTGAAGTCTATCATTTCATGGTCTCATGTTCACTTTCTGCTCTAAGTATATAGCAATGCTTCATTTATCTGATGTTGTTGAAAAATATGGTATTTTGTGAAAATTCTTAGTTTTGCTATACTGATTTTTCTTTTCTTTATTTATTTAATTGCCAATGAGCATGCGTTTACCTGGAAGAGACAAAGACAAAGAGAGAGAGGAAAGGACCCCCAAATGTGGTCACACTATAATTCCTTCTCCATTTCTCAATCCTGGCAGAATGTTGAGTACACAAGTGCACATACTCAATGTGTTCTTTATGTTCTTTGGGGCTGAAATTTGAATCCCAGTTGGTCATGTGGGATCCAGATCCTTTTACCACTAGGTTACTAAGCCAACTGTTATGATACTTTTTATGGAAAAGATTTTTTTTAGGAATTATTTTACTTAATTTTATTTATTTATTTTTTTAAATTTGACCAGAGAGAGAGAGAAAAAAAGCAAACCACTAAGTCTGGGATTTGAACCAGTGTTGGCCATGTGGGAATCCAGCACCTTTGCCACCATGCCACTTGCTGGTCCTTAAGGAAAAGATTTTTTTTTTTTAAGAATTATTTGTCTGTTTTCATTATTTTTCAATTTTGACCAGAGACACAGAGAGAGGAGAGAGACCTAGCTGCCAGGTCCAGGACTTGAATCACGGTCAGCCATGTGGGAGCCCAGTACCCTTAACCACCACACCACCTGCCGGCCCCAGGAAAAGTTTTTAAAGGATATTGTATATTTTGTTTTCTTTTAAACTTTTTCTTTTTTATTTTTTTTGCTTGGTGTCGTGATTACTAGCATTAATCATTTACAGTAATCAAGTGAGGTTTTGAGGTCATTGAAAAAGTAAGTCATTTGCCTCCTCTGCTTTTCAAATTATTGAATCTACTTTTTTTTAAGTGGGTTTTTTTGTTTGTTTTTTGTTTTTTTTGTTTTTTTTTTTTTAGTTTTGCTATAGGGTGTTTGTGCTTGCCAGAGAGAGAAAGAGAAATCACCCTCTGCAGGGATGGCCACACTCCTTCAGTCTCCCCTCTGCCCTCCTCCGGACTTTGGGCACATATACACATGGGTGTTCTTCAAACTGCCAGGTCAAGGATTCAAACCATGCAGTTGGCTATGTGGGACCCACCTACCCTGCTTCCACTTCACTGTCTGCCCCCAAATTTACACTTTTTAAGAAGAATTTAATTTGGGGGTCGGCAGATGGCATGGTGGTTAAGGTGTAAAATTCTCACATGGCTAACCATGGTTCAAGTCGGAGACCTGGCAGTTTGCTTTCTCACTCTCCCTCTCTTTTTCTGTCTCTGTCTGGTCAAATCGAAGAATAATAATAAATAAAATAAAATAGTTCTTAAAGTAATACATACATTTATTTATTATTATTATTATTATTTAAATTTGATATAGGGAACATGTTCTTACCAGAGAGACAGAGAAAGTGAGAAGGCAAGCCTGTAGGGGTCCACCATGTGCAAATCGCGTGGCCTCCAAATTTACTTTTAATAGTTATCTTTCTTCTTACAATGTTGGGACACTTTTGTAACTGTTCATGTTCCTGCTGCCCTTCTTAAATTTGTAGGTTCTGATCTGTTGAGTAGGAATTCAGATCCCTCTGCTTTCTGAAATTGAATGTAAATAGCTGAATAAGCTTAGTTAGTTTCTGCTTTATAACCATTATTTGGCTGCCCAAAGACCTTTGTATTAATTTTTTGTTTCTTATCCCTGGTTTAGATAGTGAACTTGCACTGATAGGGATGTTTATGTTCCTGTAGTTCTTTCTGTAGAAAAAAGAAAATAATATGGAAGTACTAGTGTTGGCTGTTTGAGAATGCATTGCCAATCATACCTAAAAATGTTTCCAGCCCTGTCTTGTGTCATT